CAAGGTCCTCCAGCTCTGGTGGAGTGTCCAGCTACCGCCCCAGGTCCTCCAGCTCTGGCGGGGTGTCCTGCTTCCGCCCGAGGCCTTCCAGCTCCTATGGTGTGTCCTGCTACCGCCCAAGACCCTCTGCTTCCTGCAGCTCATGCAGGATGGCTTCCTCCAGCTCTCTGAGCTACAGGTCCAGCAGCAGCTGTTTCCAGGCCTGTTGATCTGGAAGCTCCTACTCAGTGGGATGTGGTTCCAGTAGCTTCAGAACCCTGGCATGCGGAGTCCGTGGGTTCCCTTCTCTCAGCCTTGGATCTGGCATCTGCCGCCCAATCTCTTTGACTTCTGGCACCTGCCACTCATCTTGTTAAGCATCCTGTGGATCTGGCTTCCAATCATCATCTAATTAAGTGTCTACACTTATTCAATATTGTTATTGTCTCTCTTCATAACCTTATTATTTTCATCACCTACAGAAAGAATTATCCTCTAAAATCTGATAATCATATTCTTACTTGGACACAAGTACAGACATACAGACTTCATCTGAAAAATTTTATCATTAATTTAATGGCTCAAAATGAAGACAACCTATGTATTGAAAATGTAATATTTATATTTGGTTTCTTCTACTATTGAGAAATGTTATGTCACTTTAATCTATTAAATTTATCTATTGTTATATCCAGCTGAATTTTGTAGGTGTTAGTTGCTTATTGACTAGGGTTTGGGTTGTGATAGGAAAAATAATATTATGAAATCACCAATATGCACATGGAAATAGATTTGGATCATCTAGGAAGTTGGTGGCTGAACTAATTTGGGCAGAATTTAAATAGTTTTATACTCAAAGTCTAAAGTAATATAATTGTTAGAATGTACAGATTTTATATGCTAAAATCTAAATTAAGAAATAGATACAGTCCTATCATATGGGTCCTCATGTGTACTCCTCTGGGTATAAAGTAGTGGACTTTTGACAATTGTATCAGGAATTCAGAGAGCAAAAATCATATTTTGAAATATACCATTAGGATATTACATGAAGGAAAAATGAAGAGTAGTGATGGTAGACAATGAAAGTGATCATCTATGATTTTAGGCAACTTTGTTGAGATCTCCAGTATTTGTTGGTAAAAAGTCATCAAGAACCTGAATTTCTCTGATGAGAATTCAAGGTGACAACTATCTTCACATGTGCAATGGTAATCCCATGAAATTTGAGTCAAGTTCTAAGATTGTAAGGTTTATATTTCACCTTGGTTTTAATCATGGATCAAACAAAATAAAACTGAATAAAAAAGCTTTAAATATCACCAGAATGGTGATTTAATGTGCATCTCAGCAAAAGTGATAATGAGGGGGGGAGAGAACAGAGTGGGAAGAGGGCACAGTGGTCTATGGTAAAGGACCACAGTGTGTTGCAGCGGGAGGGGTGTGATTTATATCTGAGGAGCTGGGAACCTATTTTGCTGAATCATATCTAGGACTATAAACCAATACTATGCCAACAAAAACAAATAAAAAATTAAATGTAAATTAGACACAGTTAAAGAGAAAATTAGTGACTGTGAGTGGTATATACTCAAACTAAAAATAAAGAAAAAAGAAATATATACATGGGGATCCATAAATATATAACAGAGAATTTGGAGCATGGAGAACACAAAAATATCCGACAAAATTGCAACTGGAGTGGAAAAACAAGACTCTGTGTGTGTGTGTGTGTGTGTGTGTGTGTGTGTATGCACCTCCGTGTACATAGATAGATGATAACAGATGATTATAGATATATATCTAATGGAACAATAACAACTGCTGACATGTTATCACCAAATCAAAAAAATTAAAAAGATGTCGCCAAATCAAAGATAAATCATGTGTAATAGAAAAAAGACCATGAGAGAGTATTTCAAACCTCTACTGGCAAATTCTAGAACTGGTAAAAAGCTCAATATGAAAATATAAACATGGATCACACCTGGGCACATACCAGTTAACCAGATGAACAGAAAAGCAAATAGGAAATAAAGGAAAACAAGCAAAGGAAAATAAATGTAATTTATCTTCAAAAAGCAATAAAGAAATGATGACTGAATTTTAAACAGAGAAAAAGGAAAGAATGAAAGCAATTAAATGTCAAGTTTCCAAAGGAAAAAAAAAATGTTAAAACTTCTTACTTAACTAGTGAATTTCTGTTTTGAAACTAAAGAGGGTTGGGGTGGGATTGGAAGAGCACCATGGACTATAGTGGAGTACTAGGAGTGCCTGGACAGTGGGAAAGCTCGTAAGCCCACCTAAGGAGAGAACTCCTATACTGTCAGAAAAATGAACAAGATGGAAAACAATGATAATTATTTAAAAAAAATTAAAAAATACTGAAAGAGAAATAGACATTTTTAGTTTATCAAAAAGTTTGAGAACTTCTCACTAACATATAGTACTAAAATATGTAAGAAAAGATACACATATTGAAAAGCAAAATGATTCCAGAAACCAGCAAAAAATGATGAAGGAATGAAGGGAAAATTTAAAGTGTATATAAAATAAATTTAAGAAAATATTGCCTATCAAAAAATGGCTACAAATATATACGAATAAACACAAACATGAACAAGATTTAAATAATTGAAACCCTAACAGTAGTGTATGGAATTGGGTAACAAAAATGGCTTTAAGATTTCTTGCATTCCTGCATAGTACAAGAAATAGTAAAATGATTAAATTTTATAAGCAAATCAGCAACAAATTCTGTGACCTCGAAGGCTGTGCACTCTGATCAAATATTCTGTGATGCTAAAAATATGTTTGTCTCTACATTCCAATACATGGTGTCCATTAGCAACATGTACCCATAATCCACTTGAAATGCAGCCACTGTGACTGAGGATTGAGTATTTAAATTAAATTACTCTAAGTTGAAATTTATATATATATAACTACTGGTGACTCTATTGAATACTATGGCTACAGGGGAACTCTTAAATGAATCATAAAATAATGTGCATCATCCCAGAACACTAATTGAAAGACTATTCAAAAAATCTTGCTTGACATCTCATATACATTTTGAAATAGCAATCTTTGAAGTTATTAAAGCACAAGTAGGATTTTTCTTTGTTTCTTTTCCTGATATGTCTTTTCATTTTCCAGTTTATATTTCATTATATTGCAGAAAATCCATTTTAAGTAGAAAATAGATTTGACATACAGCCCAGTCTGATATTCTAATCTTAAGTAAGGATATTTGAGTCATTCTTTTGTTAATTTAATTATTGATATATTCAGATTTCTATCTATATATTTACTGTTTGGTAAATATTTTCTTTACTCTTCTATTTCCTTTAATGCTTTAGGGAGTGGTGTATAGGTTAGTTTTAATCATTATTTTCCAATCTTTTAAGTCTTTAGCATATTCTGGAGGTTTTCATAATTTGTTTATAACTGTTTATTTACTTCTACATATAAGTTAAGAAGCACAAACTATTCAGTATTTCGATTTAATGGATATTCACATGTAATTCATTTATATTGCAGTCCTCTATTAATTCCTGCCATTACAAATTTCCTCCTGAGATTATTGGCTTTAAACCTGGAGACAAACTTTAAGTATTTGTTTCAGTTCACTTTTCCTGACATGGAAAGCTCTTTAAAAGAAAACATTTGGATATGTTACAGTGTGAAAATAATATTGGGTAAGGAGAAAAAGGGGGAAATAATTTTTAAATGAAGAAGAAAATGAATTAAAGCATGGGAAAGGAAATGAGTTCCGGGGGCACTGACTGATGGGTGCTGTTCTGGTGGTGGTGCATCTCTGGATGAGCGGTTAATGCAGATGACAAAGGCACAGTGGACGCACTAGAGGTCAGAGACTATGCAGATACTCAACCAGTTTTTATTTGAATAACACAGTGATTGAAAACACATAGAATCACTAGTTATCTCCCCTGATCTCAAGAATATTGCTCCCCTCATTGTCTTGAGGGATGTGAGTCTCCAAGGACCCCATGATCACCAAAACCCAAAGCTATTCAAGTCCATTTTACAAAATGGCACAGTATTTGCGTATAACTCACATACTTCTCCCATCTGCTTTCAATCATTTCTAAATTGCTTGCAATAGTGTTACAATATAAAGTTATGTAAACACACATTACACTGTATTATTTAGGGAATAATGAAAGTGAAAAATATCTGCACATGCTCAGTACATATACAACTATTCTAGCCCAAAACTTAGTACATGTTTTTATCTGAGGTTGACTGAAGTCACAATATGGACGGGTGGCTGACTGATTTTCACGCTGAGCTTTTTCATACACATAAGTTAGTATCCACAGAAATTCTGTTGGAAACTACACCTCTTCATCATTTTGCCTCTAAGCACTTGTCCTGATTTACCACTGTGATCCATTTCATTTCTCTTCCATTTTTTTCTATCTTTCCTTTCCAATGTGTTTGAGAAGCACTAGAAAGCATAATAAAGTATAACGACATGTGAAATTATTTAAGGAATGGAATAAACTTTGAAATTATTTAAGGAATGGAATAAGCATACCTGTGGAAGAATAGCTCTGTCTTTTCCGATGGCATAGAAATACGTGACTCCATCTTCATCTCTGCCTTCGTGTTGAGCAACACCAGCCAATATGTCAGCAAATAGGCAAGGAAGGTCTTGGCAGATGAGATGAGGAGGAGCCTTCCTACTTGTGATTAGATGGTGTTAATGGAATGTAGGCTCAGTGTTTCTGACACTGGTAGAGACCATTGACTTAGTGCTATAAACAACATGACGAATTCACTGATGAAAATGAGATGCTCATAAGGATACACCTGCAATTACAGAAAACATTACCGAATTACACATATGGAAATGACCGTGTCCACATAGGGAGAGGGACTATAATGCAGGCCACTCCCTTGCTGAGAGTATATAAACGCTTCAGTCCAAGAGGTGACATTAAGCCTCAGAATTTTCTCACTGTCACACAGCTGAACCGACATCTCCTGTCAACATGTCCAACAACTGCTGCTCTAGAAACTTCTCCAGCTCTGAAAGCTTCTACTCTACCTCCACTGGGGGCACCCAAAGCTTCCCCGTCTCCTCCTGTGGCTCTTCCTTCCCCAACGTCGTGGTCTACAACACTGACCTGACCTCTCCCAGAACCACCCAGCTGGGCACCCCTCTCTCCATTGGCTGCCAGGAGACCTGCTGTGAGCCTTCCATCTACCAGGTGTCTCGGGTGTCTCGTGTGGTGTCCAGCCCCTGCCAGACATCCTGCTTCCGCCCCAGGCCCTCTGCTCTCTGCAGCCCATGCCTGCCATCCTGCTCCCGCCCCAGACCTGCTGCTGTCTGTAGCCCCTGTGGGGTGACTTATTCTGGATCTCAGGGCTGCGGGTCCAGCAGCAGCTGCTCCCAAGTCTATCAATCTGGAAGCTCCTACTCAGTGGGATCAGGTTCTGCTAGCCTCAGACCCCTGGCTTTTGGAATCCGTGAGTTCCCATCTCTGAGCCTTGGATCTGGAGTCTGCGGCCCAATCTCCCTGACTCCTGGCAACTGCCAGTCATCTTGTTAAACAACAACCTGTGGATGATTTTTCTGTTCATCCAATAAAGTGTCTAAACTTATTGTTCAGTATCTTTATTGTCTTTCTTTATAACCTTACTATTTTAATCATCTGCAGAAAGCATTATCTTCTGAAATCTCATTTTCATATTTTCATGTTGTCTCTGTCCCCAAATATAGGCTGACAAGCTTTACCTGAAAAATTCTATAGTAAATTTAAAAGGTCAAATTGCTGGCAAAATATGTCTTGAATAAGGGAATAATTGTGATTGGATTCTTCCAAAACAGAGAAAAGTTGTGTCATTTTAATGTAATAAATGTGTCAATTGTAACATCTTGCTGATTGTTTTTTTGGTGTTATTTTATTGACTAGACAGTATGTTGCAATAGGGAATAATAAATATGTGATCACCAATATGTTCACAAAAATTTTTTTTGAATACCCATGTGGTTGGTGACTTGAATTATTTGGATAGTTCCAATAGTTTAATTACTCAAAATCTAATGTAAAACAATTATACAAATGTACAGATTTCATAAGTTAAAATATGAATTAAGGGCTAGATGAGTCTCTATCAGATGTGGGGTCTTCCTGTATATTTTTCTGTGTATGGAGTAGCAGAATTTTGATAGCTCTATCAGGGGTTCAGACAACAAAAACAATATTTAGAGATACACTGTAAGTGTAAAGCCTGATGGAAAAATGAACAGAGATCAGGTTGGACCTAAAAGAAAAAACAAAGTAGAAAATGTAAGTGATAGTGTATAATTTTAAGTGTCTTTGCTTGAAATCATCAGTATCTGTTGGTAAAAGTCATCAAGTACCTGACAGTCTCTGATGAGTAGTCAGCCTGATCTTATTATCACATTTGCCATGATGAATCCCATAAAATTTGAATCAAGGTTCTAAAATTATAAGGTTTATATTTCATCTTGTCTTTGATCATGTCTCACACAAATAAAATATATAACGAGGTTTTAATATCATCATGATGATTTAATATGCACCTTGGCAAGAGAGGGTAAGACAGGGGGAGGGAACAGTCTGGAGAAAGCTAACTGGTCTAGAGTAATGGACTATGGTGATTTGGTGGAGGGTGTGGTGTGGTGATTTACATCTCAGGAGCTGGGAACCTATTCCTCTAAATCATATACAAGGGAATAAAACAATGTTCTCTCAATTAATATAAACAGAGAAGAGACTATTTGATTATTTACTGGAATATATTCAAAATGAAAATAAAGAGAAAAAGTTTAATGGGGACTCAGAATCTATAGAACACGGGGAACATGGAAATGCCAAACATAGTTACACTGGAGTGTAAAAAGAAGATTCTGTGTGTATGAGTATATATGTGCATGTGTGTGTATGAGTATATATGTGCATGTGTGTGTATGTAGAGGATACATATTCGATGAAAAATTAACAGCTGCTGAAATGTCAAATATTAACAAATCGAAAAGAAATCATGTGTATAGAAAAAAATTAAGAATATATTTCCAATTAGACAAACATCATCTACCTTCAAATTCTAGAACTATTAAAATCTCCATGTTTATAAATGTAAACAAAGATCCGCTCCTGGCCAGGGAGCACTTCACTTTAACAATACAAAAGCAAAGAAGTAAAATGATAAACAAGCAGAGGAAAACAAGAAGCAATAATGAGATTGATGACAGGATTTTAAACAGAGAAAAAGGAAGGAAGGAAAAATTAAAAACATCAAATTTCAGAGAAGAAAAAGTGCTAAAATTTGATTACTTAACTGGTGAGTTTGTGTTTGGAAACTGAAGGGGAACAGGGAAGGGAGGAAGAACACAGTGGACTGTTGTGGAGGACTGTGGGTTCTTTGGTGGTGGGAGAGCTACAAAGAACATGCCTAGGTAGAGAAATCCTATAAACACACATAAGAAAAAAATGATGCAAAAGAATGGTGCATCATTTTTATTACTTTTTTAATTTTTATATATTTTTTACATCATTTTTCGTTTTTGCACAATGTATGCATTTTCATCTTGGTTATAGTCCCCATACAATTCCCACCCCCCTTGTTTTGATCCTACTCCCTCTTCCCCCCTGTAGTGTGTCTCTGGTTTATAGTTACCTGTTGATTTTTATTTTTACTTTATTATAATTAAATTCCCTTCCTAATACCAGTAAAAATTTTGGTAAAAACAAAAAAAGATAAAATTACATATGTAAGTATATATATATATATATATATATATATATATATATATATAATGTTTTAACATTTTGCATATGTAAATTAAAAAATTAAAGTAGAAAAAAAAAGAATGGTACATGATTAAAAATTAAAATATACTGAAGGGTAAATAGAGACATTTTCAGATAATGAAAATCTTTCAGAATTTCTCCCTAGCATTTAGCACTGAGATATATAATAAAAGATAGATAGATGGATATACCTAGATAGATATTCAAAAGCATGATTCCAGAAAAGAGCAAAAAACAAAAGAGAAGACTAAATAGAAAATTAAAATGTGTATATTGGGTAAATTAAGGAAATATTTGTCTACCAAAAAAGTGGGTACAGATATGCATCAATAAACAAAAAAATGAATGTGATTAAAATAATAGAATCTTAACAGGTATGTATGGAATGGGGTAGACATATGGCCTTCTATTTGTGTTACCTCAATTAATTAAAAATAAAAATAAAGATAAATTAGACACAGTTGAAGAGACAATTAATGATTGCTGAGTGGAATATATTCAAACAAAAAGAAAAATATTTACTGGGAATTCAAAGGCTATGAATGCAGGGAACATGGAAATTATGAACACAGATGCAACTGGACTGTACAAACAAGATTTTATGTGTATGAGTGGGTTGCACATTCCCGCATTGCATAGGAAATAGGAAAAATATTAATTTTATTAGCAAATCATGAATGCATTTTGTGATCTCAAAGACTGTGCAGTCTGATTGAATGTTTTCTAATGCTGAAAATGTGTTTGGACATTCCAGAACGTGATGTCCATCATCCACATGTGCCCATTGTCCACTTGAGTTGCAGCTACTGTGACTGAGAAACTGAGCATTTATATTCATTTAAATTACTACAAGTTGAAAGTTATGTATATGACTAGAGGTGACTCTTTGGGATGCTATAGCTACAGGGGAACCCTCAAATGAATCATAAAATAATGTGTATCATCCCAGAACACTAACTGAAAGACAATTCGAAAAATCTTGCTTGACATCTAATAAACATTAAGAAATAACAAACTTTGAAGTTCGTAAGGTACAGGTTGGATTTTCTTTGTTTCTTTGCCTGATATGTCTTTTTTAAAAGATTTGTTTATTTATGCACACAAGAAGTGGGGTACAGGCAGAGGTGTGGGGAATGGGAGGATTCACCAGAGACAGAGTGGGGAGCAGAACAGGCAGAGTGACAGAAAATACACTGCTGAGGGGAGCAGCAGGCGAGACAGGAGAGGTCTGCTGTACTGTGTGGGTAGCTTGGTGGCTGTCTGGGGATCAAACTCGTGCTGCAGAGGCTGCAGATAGCTTCACAGTGCTGTGCTTAACCCCTTGAACCACCAGGAAGGCCCTGCCTGATACGTCTTTTCATTTTGCAATTTTTATTTCACTATATTTTAGAAATATTTTTAAGTCAAAAATAGATTTGATATATAGCTCAGTCTGTTATTTTAATTTTTATATAAGGCTATTTGAGTCATTGTATAGTTAATCTAATTATTGGTATTAATACATTCAAACTTCTACCTCTGCATGTACTGGTTTGTTGTTATGTGACCTATTTTCTCTTCTCCTGTATTTCCTTTAATGCTTTTGGAGGGGTTTTATACTATAATTTTACTTATTAATATTATTTACTAAACACTCAAATTTTTAGCATTTTCTATAGGTTTTCATGATAGTTTTAATACATTACTGTTTAATTCTACATACATGTTAAATGGCAGAAACAAGAATATTTTTAATAATGGATTTTTACATATAATTCATTTATATTGCAGTCCTCTATTAATTCCTGCCATTACAAATTTCCTGTTGAAGAAAATTACAGAATAATTTTCTTCAGTTTCATTTCATTCTGGGTTTCCTGACATGGACATTTCCTTAAAAGAAAATAATTGGATCTATTACAGAAAATAATCTTGAATAATTGGATATATTACAGAAAATAATCTTAAATAGAGTAAGGGGAAATATGTTTTAATTGAAGGAAAAATTGGTGAAAGAACCTGACAGGAAATGAGTTCTGGGGGCACTGACTGACGGGTGCTGTTCTGGTGGTGGTGCATCTCTGGATGAGCGGTTAATGCAGATGACAAAGGCACAGTGGACGCACCAGAGGTCAGAGACTATGCGGATACTCAACCAGTTTTTATTTGAATAAAACACATAGAAAACACATAGAATTGTGTTTTTCTATATGATTGAAAACACATAGAATCACTAGTTATCTCCCCTGATCTCAGGAATATTGCTCCCCTCATTGTCTTGAGGGATGTGAGTCTCCACGGACCCCATGATCACCAAAACCCAACGCTATTCAAGTCCATTTTACAAAATGGCACAGTATTTGCGTATAACTCACATACTTCTCCCATCTGCTTTCAATTATCTCTAAATTACTTGTAATAGTTAATACAATGTAAAATTATGTGAACAGCGATTTCACTGCATTATTTAGGGAATAAGGAAGGTGAAAAAAATAGCTGCACATGCTCAGTACATATACAACTCTTCTGGCCCAAAACTTAGTATATGTTTTTATCTGAGGTTGAATGAACTCACGGTATGGATGGGTGGGTGTCTGTATTTCACTCTGAGCTTTTTCAAACACATCAGTTAGTATCCACAGAAATTCTGTTGGAAATTAAACCTCTTTCATCATTTTACCTCTAAACACTTGTCCTGATTTACCACGGTGATCCACCTTGTGTCTCTTCCATTTTCTTATCTAGCTTTCCTTTCCAATGTATTTGAGAATCAGTATAAAATACAGTATTTG